CTCTCCTCCTCTAGCCATTACAGAACAACTTTTTATCCTTCCATTAAATTAATCTAAATCAACTTATGATTATTTGATTCAAAGTTATTTTTTAAGACCAGCTCTCCTATACTGTCTTCACCACTTAACCAAATCAAATCTAAAATAGCATTACCTTCTGTCAGATCAGTAATTATTTGATGAAGATACCAGTCAGCAATCATATCCACAAATATCTGGGCTCTATTATTAGTAGTAGGATTTGTCATCCAGTCTGTATGTGGAAGTTTTTAAATTTCAAGAATGTCACAACTCCTAATACCATTGTTCTCTCTAATGTTAAGGACATCTCTAACAACTTCCGAATCCAACCCTGAAGACCTATAGGACTTCCAGGACTTCCTCAGTGGCCCCTCATACTCTCCTTCCACAAAGTGATTTTAACCCAAACAGATTCTGTTTTATCTATCTATAGCTTCTTATTTCTTCAGAGTCTATCCCAGAAGTGGAAAAAACACGCAGGATAGGCACTTTTTATAGGGGGCTAATGGCTATGGCTATACAGAAACAATGTATCAGTACATCTAATAGCACCCTGGCTGTAACACTCCCTTAATAGCCCCTGGGGATAATGCAAACTGGCATCAGACCCTCTTCCAGAGTAGTAAAGTAGAGGCACTTTCTACTGTGCACAACTACCGTATTCCTCAATACAACAGGCAAAATACCCACAGTAAAGATAGGTTGGATAATGGCACATATGACAAAAAAGGAGAGGGCATAAATAACTAAGCCTTGAACAGTGCATTGCATTTACTCATCGGCCATTTCACTAGCTACAGAACCCACCAGGCACTCAAGCATGTATTTAAGGGTAATAAGATTAACTTTAACAACTTATATATTCTGTGTTTCCTGGTAGCAATTTGAGCCTTGGGCCTGATGTCTCTTCTACTGCTGAGCATAGAGAGAAAAAAATAGTGTTTGGTGGGCAATTTATAAATTCAAAACAAGTTGCAGCATCTATGATAGCATAAATGAATTTTTCTGTATGGGTGTTACTAGCTCAGGCTGAGCTCCTTCCAACAACTTGGGGTTAGAAGGATTTGTTTGTTTTTTTTAAATTTGCCAGATAGACTTTAAGCAAGATGCCTTTGGAGGCAAGTCGGAGGGGGGAAACGAGTCCAGGAGAGCTGGTTGTACTTTGTTTTGTTTGCCAAGTTCACGCACCTGAATGCTCCCTAGTAAATTCTAACTTTTACATTTGTAGCTGCTGTTGTCATACTTCCTTCAACGTCTTTTTGCTCATTAGTGTGCTTTTATTTTTTTCTTTTATTGGGACATCTAGCAGTCAGGAAGCCCCTGTTTCCCATACTGATTTTCAGCACTGTAGCTTACTATGGTTTATCATAACTATGGCTTAGCACAACCAGAATTCCTACACTGAGATCTGCTTGATATTTTTGTCAAAAGGCTTTGAGTCCACAAAAGAAACTTTGAAAGTCTCTGGGTTAAGGTTACAGGGGGTAGAGCAACAAGGGTTATGTTAGAGTGGGTGTCTGCTATGGACCACCAGACCAGGAAGAAGTGGTGGATGAGGCTTTCTTCAAACAGCTAGTGGAAGTTTCCCAGTCACAAGCCCAGGTTCTCATGGGGAACTTCAATCATTCTGATATCTTCTGGGAGGGCAATACAGCAGTGCACAGGCAAGCCAGGAAGTTTTTGAAGAGTGCTAGAGACAACTTCCTGGTGTAAGTGCTGAAGAGACCAACTAGGGTCCATGTTCTTCATGAGCTGCTGCTCACAAACTGGGAAGAATTGGTGGGGAATGTACTAGTGGATGGCAACTTGGGCAGCAGTAACCACGAAATAATTGAGTTCAGGATCATGAGGAAAGGAAGGATAGAGAGCAGTAGAGTAAGGACCCTGGACCTCATAAAAGTCAGACTTCAATTCACTCAGGGAACTCACAGGCAGGATCCCCTGGGAAGCCAGTCTGAGGGGGAGAGAAGGCCAGGAGAACTGGCTGTACTTTAAAAAAAGTCTTACTGAGAGTGCAGGAACAAATCATCCCGATGTGCAAGAAGACTAGCAAGTATCGCAGAAGATCAGCATAGCTTAGCAGGGAACTCTTCAGTAAACTAAGTCACAAAAGGGAAGTTTATACGAAGTGGAAACTTGGATAGTGTCACGGGACAGGGTCCCTAAGGATGGCCGTGTTACCCCTAAGGCCCTTCGACCATGCCAATTTGGCCTGCTGGACACCCTCGGTTCTCGCCCGCCATGTCTTGGTGGATTTATAGTATAGGGAGGCTACCTTTAAGTCCTGTTGGACATGGTTTGATGGACTCTCTGAATCCCGTGGGAACCCGGAGCCCTTGTGGGTCCCACATCAAAATAGATGTCACAGGACACCCCAGCCTTACAGGTTATATGCATGGCTCCAACCTCCCCTTTACCACGCCCCAAGCCTCGCAGATGGCATTGACATTGTTCGGTTTGGGCCTTGGTATGAATTGGCCCCCTTGTCGCCGCGCCTCACTGGTGCCTGGGCTCTCCGCAGCCCAAATGCCACACCCTCACTGGCACCAGGGTCTTCACGCTGGAGTGGGCCCCTAATGAGGCCTCCTCCTTCCCCAAATAGCCTCACCCAAACCACCGGTGTTATAAACAGCAGAAAAAACCATAAGCCCCTGGGCTATAACATAATGTAAAGATCAGGGTGTGCTCTGACCCTTTAAAAGGATCCAGTTTCATCCCTGGTAATAAGTGTCTAGTAGGCAAGGGTACTTGTGGACTTGTGGAGCCCTTAGCCCTAAGTGCAGCATACCAGGCAGTTGCAGCATCTCTGGGCACTGCCTCCCTGGAGGCTCCTTCCCCTCTGGCTGCTGGTAGGGAACTGCCCTCTGGGCCTCAGCCCTGGGGTTTATATATGAGCCAAGCCCTGCCCCTTCCAGTCAGCTGACCGCTGGCAGGTGTGGGCCAACTAGCTCATTCTGGTTGCCCTGGTAACCAGCTGGGGCTCCCCACTCACTGCTAGGGCTCGCTCCCTAGCAGTTTCAGCTCTTTAAAGGAGCAGGGCACCTAAGTGCTCTGCAACAGACAGATAAACAGGGAAGAGTATAAGAGCACTGCTCAGGCATCCAGGGATGAAGTCAGCAAGATCAAATTCAATTGGAGTTTCAACTAGCAAGAGATGTGAAGGGTAACAAGAAGGGTTTCTATAAGTATGTCAGTAGCAAAAGGAAAATCAGGGAAAGTGGGGGTCCCTTACTGAATGGGAGAGGCAACCTTGTGACAGAGGATGCAGAAAAGGCTGAAGTGCTCAGTGCCTTTTTTGCCTCACTCTTCACAGGTAAGGTCAGCTCCCAGACTATTGCACGAGGCAGCACAGTTTGGGGAGGAGATAAGCAGCCCTCAGCAGTAAAAGAAAAGGTTAGGGACTACTTAGAAAAGCTGGATGTGTACAAGTCCATGGGGCTGGATAGGATGCACCTGAGGGTGCTGAGGGAGTTGGCTGATGTGATTGCAGAGCCATTGGCTATCATCTTTGAAAACTCATGGTGATCAGAGGAGGTCCCAGATCATTGGAAAAGGGCAAACATCATGCTCATAATTGAGAAAGGGGAAAAGGAGGATCCAGGGAACTACTGACCAGTCAGCCTCACCTCAGTACCTGGAAAAATCATGGAGCAGATCCTGAAGGAATCCATTTTTAACTACTTGGAGAAGAAGGTGATTAGGAACAGTCACCATGGATTCACCAGCCTGATCAACCTGACTGCCTTCTATGGCAAGATGACTGCCTTTGTGGATGCAGGGAGACCAGTGGATGTAATGTACCTTGATTTAAGCAAGGCTTTTGATACTGTCTCCCACAACATTCTTGCAGGCAAACTAAGGAATTATGGCCCAGATGAATGGACTGTAAGGTAGATAAAAAACTGGCTGGAGCATCAGGCTAAAAGAGTAGTAATCAACGGCTCAATATGTAGTTGGCAGCCAATATCAAATGGAGTGCCCCAGGGGTTGGTCCTGGGGCTGGTTTTGTTCAATATCATCATCAACAACCTGGAAGGTGGCACAGAGTGTGCCCTCAGCAAGTTTTCAGATGACACCAAGATGGGGGGAGTAGTAGATATGCTGGAGGGTAAAGCTAGGATTCAGAGTGACTTAGAGAAATTGGAGGATTGGGCCAAAAGAAATCTCATGAGATTCAACAAGGACAAGTGCAAAGTCCTGTGCTTAGGACAAAATAATCCCATGCATCAGTTCAGGTTTGGGGCTGACTGTCTGGGTGGCAGCTCTGCAGAAAAGGACCTGGGCATTATAGTGGACAATAATCTGAATATGAGTCCTCAGTATGTGCTTGTGACCAAGAAGGCTAACATCATACTGGGCTGCATTGGTAGGAGTGTTGCCAGCAGGTCAAGGGAAGTGATAATTCCCCTCTATTCAGCACTGGTGAGGCTACTTCTGCAGGACTGTGTTCAGTTTTGGGCTCTGCAATACAGAAAGGATGTGGACAAATTGGAGAGAGTCCAGCAGAGGGCAACAGAAGTGGTGAGGGGTAGGGTTTTGTGAAGCTTTGGCTGCTGATTCAATTTGGAGGAGATTCAGCCCAATTCAGCGACCTAATCTCTGAATCCAAATTGAAGTGGGAGACCAATTAAAAGCTCAAACTGATTCTTTTCTTTTTTTTTTCTTTTTAGGGCTGGAAGGGACCTCAGAAGACCACTGAGTCCAGCCCCCACCTGAAGGGCAGGAAGT